AAAGTATTGAAAAAAGCAAATCAAAGAAAAATTATTTGAAAATAAAAGAGGATATATAACATTTTATTAAATTATTTGAATGTAAACATTTTAAAAGGTGCACAACCACCAATGCTTTTTAAATAACTTTTGCCATGTTTAATCACAAGAATCTTATCGGTACAAGGAATTGATTTTTGAATTGCAAATTTTGTTTACCAAGAAATGTGTTCATGACTCATGAGGAGTTTTGCTAATATCACAATACTATGTGAGATTATTATTTTTAGAATAATATTATATTGCTAATTCTTAGATGGTGCATATTAAATTTTGTATTAATGCCTAAAATAAGTTAAGCTTTAATATCTATGCCATAAATTATTTTTAAAAAGGAAGAAGTAAATGAATTGTGTAATTTTAAATTCACTTCACATGATCTAAAAACAGTTTAACTAGTGTGTCTTGTATTTAATATTGTGTGATACTCCATGATTATTTTACAAATTGAGTAGTAATTATCTACTCAATTAAAGATAATTGAACATTTCAAAACCATGATTTTATATAATAGGTATCCCAAGTCTTAAATAATGAGTTGTTCTATTGTTTATTTGTTTAAGTTATGTAAATTATTTTAGATGTTTCATCTTTTAACTCTCCAATTAATAAGTATTGCATAATGTATGGCTATATATTTATTTAGAAAACTACTCCCTCAGTCCCAAATTGTAAGATGCATTTACTATTCATTTGGTCAACATAAATCACTCTTAATCTTTTACTTTATATATCCAAAGTTTATGAAGTTTGAATTATTTTTTGCAGGTTTTATAGCTGTCACTACTAGAAAAAGGACTTTTAGCAATGAAAAATATGGTCGTTATAGGCCCAAAAGTTCGTCGTTAAAGCTTTTAACGACCACTTTTTTCTCGTCGTCAAGTTGTTATAGCCTCCCTCATTATTGGTTTTAATGACAAAGTTCGTCGTTAATAATTAACGACAATACAATAGTCATCGTTACATATTAGCAACAAAAAACTCACTCGTCGTTGCATAATAACGACAACATAATTCTTCATTGTTATCTAAAAATGACAAGATATTTAATCATCGTTACTTTATATATCTGCTATTAACATCAATATCAATATTTATTAAAAATGACAGCATTTTTATAAAAAAAAACTCCACGAGATACCTATTTAAGAATTATATACTTCGTATTTAGTTATAAAAATTACATAATATTAATAAAATACTATGTAATTGATTATATGAAGTTATGAACATGAAATAAAGTAATTACGCATTCAGTAGTCCATAAATAATAAACTTCTAATTTTTCAATAAATTGTACGATCATCAAATATGTCTTAAATATCACAATTATTGTAAACTAAGACAATACTCATAATCATTCTCATAAATAAAATCTCAATACATAATTGTTAAAATACACATGTATCGTTAACTATACATAATAAAATACTCCGTAGCTACTCTACAGCACTGCTGCAACTTTCTCATCTCTGGAAACCTACAAAAAAGAACATAAGATTCAGATTTTCTAGCAAAACGATAAATACATATAAGAGAAACCGGAATGGGCTGCATTATACTGAAAATTTATACTTAATCTTATTCGAATTTTTGAATTAATTGATTTGTTTCTAGATTAAAATTTTAAAATGACATATCCGAAAACAATTAATTAGTAATAACGATGATTGCATCTTAATTAATAATGACAAGTATTCATTACGGTCGTTAAAGATAAAATTTAATAACGACGAACTCGTTAGTCATCGTTAAAAGAAACTTTTAACGACAATTTTTTAGGGTCATCGTTATATGGTGGTCGTTAAAAGCCCTTTTTCTTGTAGTGTGTTTTATTGTAGTTTCTGAATATGTAAACTTTATTTTCTAAAACTAATTTGAGTGTTGACAGGGATCAATTTGCTTTATCGTCGGTCAAACGTCGTAAAATATCTTACAAATTGGAACGAAGAGAGTAAAAAGTAAAGGGGCGAACACATATATATCTAACTAAATACAAAAATTTCATGAAGTATATAGTAGAAAAATTTGAAAGTTCAAGAGGGAGGGACTACCCGTCACCTTAAATCCATCCCTCCCAGCAAATAGTTAATTTATTTCAAATTATTCGTGGTAGAACCGCAACAGTATATGCAGGTTGAATCACGCTCGGATTGAGATAGAAGGATGTTTCCATAATCAAAAATGATGTTTGTACACACTCTTATACACACTTTTGTACACACCTATGTCTGTGAAAGTTTTTTTTGTCTGTGAACATCGATTCATAGACAATGTTTTGCACAAACAAAATATTGTCTGTGAACTGGATTCACAGACAAAAAAAAAGCTTCACAAACATGGTGTGTATAAGGTGTGTACAAGGGTGTGTACATCAAGCATGTTTGTTCCATAATAGTGTAAGAGTTTTGGAAGTTTGGAAGTAATCAAATCCTACACAAACTCTAACAATCCTACACAAACTCTAACAATGATTAATTGTTAGAGTTAATTCCTTTAATAGGACTAAAACAATGAAGAAATGCACAAATAGGACTTACATGTTTTATAGGACTAAAAATACATTGATTTGACAACATTACCCTTAATGAAATTCTAAATATACTTACAATTAAAATGTAATAATAAAAAAACATTTCTAAAGCCCTAGCTACGGTAGTGGGCTGCAGCCCTCTTGTACGAAAACTGCCGCTGCCACCCTCAATCAGCCGCTGCCACCGCCCTCACCGGCCGCCGCCTCCCTCCACCGGCCGCCGCCTCCCTCCACCGGCCGCCCTTCATTGGCCTCTGCCACCGCAAATCCTAGTGCCATCACCATCAATGCCATTATGTTGGCAAAATCTGTACCAAATCTGCCATTAAGTTGGCAAAATCTTCAAATGAGTACAAAAGAAATATTTTTCTGCCACAATATAATTGCTAATATTCAATTAACTGCCATAAATTTGGCAAAATATGCAAGCAATACCCAACAATCACATAATCCAGATTTTTAAATGAAATTAGATGTTTAATGAAATAAGAAATCAAAGCATGAAGTAGATGTGCGAAAATAAAAAAAAATACCAAAAACTCAGAAAAAACAAGTGAAAATTTTGCCATAATACAATTATTAAACCTGCCATAAAGTTGTCAATATTTTGAAATGTGTAAAAAAAAGGTTTTTCTGCCATAGTAGAATTGCCAATTTGCCACTACGCACATAATTTCCATATATAAGGCAAAATATGCAACCAACATCCCACCCAGAAAAACTGATTTTTAAACAAACGAAAGTTAACGAAATCCAACTTTGAAGCATATGTGCAAAAATCGGAACCATCGATTCCAGAAAATCAGAAATGAATTGGCAAAAAATATGCAGAATCCAATATAAAATCATTCAAGGAGAACCGGATTTTTCACAACTCACAAGAAAAATAGAGGACAAAGAGGAAGGAGAAGGAGGAGACGAAGAAGAGGGGGAAGACGAAGAAGAAGGGGAAGACGAAGAAGAAGGCGATACCTGGGATTGGCGCAAATCGACAACGACGGTGGAAGAGGCATCGTCATAGAGAGGCGGCAGCGAAGAGAGGAAGCGTAGAGAAGTGGCGGCGGCGATGGAGTACATGTTGTGGCTGGGAGAGATGTATGCGAGAGAGAGGGGAGGCGCAGCGAGAGCCGATCAAACGAGGAAGATGAGTGTTTAGAAATTAGGGTTTGTTATTATATAGAAGGGTAAAATGTTAATCCGTAGTCCTATTTAGGGAATTAAAAACTTGTAGTCCTATTTAGGGAATTAAGTTTAATTTTAGTACTATATAGGACAATTACTTTAATTGTTAATCACCGAATATCTATAAGAAATTATATTAAATGGGACTAAAACATGGTTAAAACTCCACAATAGGACTTCAAGTTTTAAATTTCCTAAATGGGACTCCACATTACCTTTTTGCCCCTAATCCCTAAATCACATTTTCCCCAAATCCCTCTGCATCGCTCGATCGCAGCTCAACCGTTCGCAGCTCAACTGTTCGCAACTCGATCGCAGCTCAACCTCCATCGATCGCAAGTTCGCAACTCGACGCTGGCCTATCATCGCAGCTGCCTGCTCGACCCCGGACGCCATCTCCATCAAAATCAGGTATTCTTCTCCTTCTCCTCCTCCTTCTTCTTCTTCTTCTTCTTCTTCTTTTTTCTTCTTCTCCTCCATCTCCTTCTCCTTCTTGTTCTTCTTCTTCTTGCTCTTCTTCTTCTCCTTTTGTAAATGTCATCTTTCTATTCCAAAATGCCAACATTATTTTAACATTATTTTATTGAACACTCATTTGGAAAAAATGTCACTTTTTTGACATTACATTTACCAAGATGACAGTTTTTATTTGACATTTATAAAGAGTAAAAATGACACCAACTTGACATTCTCCACGACTGCCAAATTTTTATATATGGAAATGTCATCTCCATGACATTTTGGGAACAAAGGTGGCATTTTTTTACAAAACAGAGTAAGAAGAACAAGAAATCATATGAGGAAGAGGAATCTGGGAGATAATGTTCGAATGTGAAGAGGAAGAGAGAAAAGGAAAGAGAGGCAGAGAACAGAAGGGGAGTATGTTCGAATCTGGAATCCATCTTACAAGAGATATACAATGACGATCTTATCTTGCAACTCATGCCAGGCAGCTACGGCGTTCAAGTCTGTGCACTGAAGCCTTGCGCAGAGGGTGGTGGTGCCGGCAATATGAAGTTATCGGTGCAGGGCACCGCAACAGAGTAGTCGGAAGTCTATTCATGCGCTAAATTCATTAAGGGCAATTTTGTCCGATCGGTAATTAAAAGTACTATTTAGATAATAAAAAACTTAATGTCCTACTTTAGAGTTTTAACAAAGTTTTAGTCCCATTTGGGAAATTCTCTCGATATCTATCTCATCTCTCTATAAATACAGCCTATCCAAGCGTCGATCTATCTATACCCGCACTTCCAATTCTTCACACAATTCCATCTTTCAAGCCCTAGCTAGCTATGTGTAATAACATCATGGAGGAGGGTGACGTCGTCGTTCAGCCCCAAGGAGATGAGGTGCAAGCCATAACGACGACGGAATACGAGTTCCGGAGCACGGAGGTGCCGTCATGGAAGGACCAGTTGACCATCAGGTCAATGGTCGCCAGCCTCGCCCTAAGCGTCCTCTTCAACTTCATCGTCTGCAAACTCAACCTCACCACAGGCGTCATCCCTTCCCTCAACGTCGCCGCCGGCCTGCTCGCCTTCACCATGATCAAGTCCTGGACCGCCCTCCTCACCAAGGCCGGAGTCCTCCACCGACCCTTCACCCGGCAGGAGAACACGGTGGTGCAGACGTGCGTGGTGGCGTCCTCCGGCATCGCCTTCAGCAGCGGAACCGCCAGTTACATGCTCGGAATGATCCCTAGAATCGCCGACCAGGCAGAGATCGGAAACACCCCGAATAACATGAAATCGCTCTCCATTGGGTGGATGACGGCGTTCTTGTTCGCCGTTAGCTTCGTCGGACTTTTCTCCATTGTCCTGTTCCGGAAGCTCATGGTGTTGAAGTTCAAACTCACATACCCTAGCGGCACCGCCACGGCGTACCTCATCAACAGCTTCCACACCCCCAAAGGCGCCGTCTTGGCCAAGAAACAAGTTTCCACCCTGTTCAAATCCTCCTCCTTCAGCTTCCTCTTCGCCGGCTTCCAATGGTTCTTTGCCGGCGGCGACGACTGTGGGTTTTCCAGCTTCCCCACGTTCGGGCTCAAAGCATACGCGAAAAGATTCTATTTTGACTTCTCCTCCACCTACGTCGGCGTCGGAATGCTCTGTCCGTACATGGTCAACGTCTCCTTACTCATCGGCGCCGTTATTTCGTGGGGGATTTTGTGGCCATGGATTGAAACCAAGAAAGGGGTATGGTACGCCGCCGACCTCCCGGCGTCCAGCCTTCACGGAATCCAAGGCTACCGGGTCTTCCTCGCTATTTCCATGATGCTCGGAGATGGGCTCTTCCACTTCGTCTATATGACCATAACCACCGTTCTAAGCCTTCTTCTTCGTAATTATAAGAATCAAGGAGCAGGGGAATTAGAAGAAGAAAAAGATAAAGAAGATTATGATGAAAGGAAAAGGAAGGAATATTTCCTGAAAGATTCAATCCCGAAGTGGGTGGGCCTGTCCGGATATGTCGGGCTGGCGGTTATCTCCGTCATCGTGGTCCCGTTAATTTTCCGGCCATTAAAATGATACCATATTATAGTAGTCTATGCCATTGCCCCTGTTCTTGCCTTCTGCAACGCTTATGGGTGTGGATTGACGGATTGGTCCCTGGCGTCGAACTACGGGAAAGTGGCGATCTTGATTTTCAGTTCTTGGGTTGGGCTGAACAACGGCGGCGTCCTGGCCGGCCTGGCCGCATGCGGCGTCATGATGAGCATCGTCTCCACCGCCTCCGACCTGATGCAGGATTTCAAGACGGGTTACCTCACTCTGGCTTCTCCGAGGGCGATGTTCTTCAGCCAAGTGATCGGAACCGGAATGGGCTGCGTTATAACGCCGTTGGTTTTTTGGATCTTCTACAAGGCTTACCCGCTCGGAGACCCGGACGGATCGTACCCGGCGCCGTACGCGCTGATGTACCGCGGGATTGCTCTGCTCGGAGTGGAGGGGTTTGGGTCTTTGCCGAGGAACTGCCTCGGGCTCTCCGTCGGCTGCTTTTTCGCCGCCGTCGCCATAAACGGGCTGGTGGAGTTGCTGAAGAAGTACGAGAGGAAATACGGGCTGTACCGGTTCGTGCCGAATCCGATGTGCATGGCCATCCCGTTTTACCTTGGAGGGTACTTCGCCATTGATATGTGCATTGGGAGTTTGATTCTGTTTTTCTGGCGGAGGGCGGACGCGCAGAAAGCTAAAGACTTCGGGCCCGCCGTCGCGTCGGGGCTCGTCTGCGGGGAATCTTTGTGGGGGATTCCGGCGGCTGTTCTGGCTTTGGTCAACGTCAAAGCCCCCTTGTGCATGAAGTTCGTCTCATCGTCATCTTAATCATCAGTGCATTATTATTTTAGTGTAAAAAATGTTCTTTGTAATTTAAAAAATGTTCATATTTTTAGTGTAAAAAATCCTATGTAATTTTTTCGCAAATGTATTCTTTGTACCGACCCAGTCCGGCCCAATGCTCTGGCTGCGCCCCTGAATACAATTGTGCTCTTAATCGTAATTCGTTAATAATTAGTAAATAAGTTTATACTCCCTCCGTCTCGTTGGAATGTTCCCTCTTTCCTTTTTTGGATGTCCCGTTGGATAGTTCCCATTTCCCTAAATGGAAAGTTATCCTACATCAAAACAGGGTCAAACAGTGCAAAACAATGTCAAACAGTGCCAAACAGTGTCGAAACAGTGTCAAAACAGTAAAATTTACCCCCTGGTAAGTTTATGTGTGTAGGTCAAATCGGGAACATTCCAACGGGACGGAGGGAGTATAATATTGTTGTTCTAAAGAAGATAAACTAACACTGCACTAATTGATATGGAGTATATAATGTGAATATATCTCTACAACTTTTGGAAGTCCTTTAATTTGAAGAGACTTGAATTGTAGGCATAATTTAATGTCTTAATATTACTGTTCTAAAACTCGCTAGGCGCTAGTCGGGCAGTTGAGGGGCGCCTAGCGCCTAAGCGGGTGAATACGCCAATTTTTTGGCCAACTAGTCTGATTAGTCCTTTACAGTTAAGATCAATTATTCGATTCGATTAGATCGATTTTTAGAACAGTGGTCACTAGTCAATACTAGTGAGGATGAGTAAGAATATCATAAATCTTAGGGGAACTTAACTTTCACTTCATTTTTGGGCAATAATGGACATAACAGTTTATTTTCAAATTCATTAATGTGTACAATTGATCATTCAAAAATTGTGAAGGAATAGCCGTGAAAAGTCATGATTTTATCCTGAAATGAGGTGCATACATTAATGATCTAAAAATATGATGTAAAGTTTAATATCACTTAAAATATGTGGTGCGAATTAATTTTAGTCAAATTCCCTTCGATTTAAGTGTAAAATAAAACTTACAAAAATGGGAGGCCTTAAATTGAGAGTCGAGAAAGGAAAAAACCCTGATGAGAGTCGAGTAGCTTGCTCCGATTTTCTCTATTTCGTTGCTTTCATTTTAGGGGAAATTTTACAAATAGGATCTAATCCTACTAATTTTCCGAATCTAAGACTGCAGCTTAACGTAAGACTCAATTACACATGCATTGATCACAATACCTTTACTTTAAATTACATATATAAGAGATAGTACGTAGACAATAAGTAGACAATAAATAGACAATAAATTCTGATGACTATAAAAAGAATAAATAATAATTTAAAAAATGACATAAAAATCAAACAAAACAAAAACCGAAAAAGTTACAACTTCAAAAAGAACATTACTCCAAAAGAAACGAAAGGAAAGAATGAAGTAAAAGCAAAATATAACTCCGTAGCAAATTTTACAAAAAAAAAACTCTGCAGCATCCGCTCTCAAAAACAACTCCGCAACAGATACGTACGTGCCTCAAGCAGAAAGAGGGAAGGGAGAATAAGGAGAGCCTGGTGCGCCGCCGTCGCTGCACCTTGTCTTCTCCGCCATGCCTCATCTCATCATCGGATCTATCTCCGGCGCCGTCTACGCGTCTCTGATATTCTCTACGAAGCCAAGTCACATGTCATCTTTAATTTGGGAGAAATTTAATATATAGTTAAAGGGGTAAAAGAGGGGATGTAATTAAAATTAAGTTTACTTAAATAGAACTAAATAAGTGGCACCTGTGGAAGAAACTATTTTAGGTCCTCTTTATGTAAAATTGGTATGAATTGATCCTATACGCAACAATTTTCTCTTCATTTTATGTTCTCTTGTTGCCTTGTTTGGTAATCGGTGGTAGAGTTTTTGTTCGGCGAATTTGTTTTGCCGCACATTTGTGCGCTTCGTGTGTGAGCATTTGTTTGGTTGTTTAATACTACCTCCGTCCCACTAACATTGGGATGGAAGAAGGTGTCACGGTTATTAAGAAAAGTGGGTTTATGTGGTTGATATTTAATTGATAAAGTAAGAATGATTAAGAGTCACACAAACTTTACCAAATATGGTATGAGGCAATCTTAGTGAGATTTTCTGAAAAGGTAAAATGAGACAATTTTAGCGAGACGGAGGGAGTACTTTAATTCATTTTGATTGAGGTGGTTGTCCGTCGATTCTGTGTTGTCAAGATTTTTGTGTGATTGTGTTTTCTCTGGTCGAGGGTTTGGTCCGTTCTAATTGTGAACGTGTTGAGCTTTTGATCGTGAGTTCCTTTGCTTCTTCTCTGTCCCGGATCCAGTGTTCATTTTTTTGGCCATTAATGAAGAGTTTAAATCGGCTTTATGAAAGAATGTCAATCAATGAGGTTGATGGCGAGGGTTAAAAAAATGGCAACGCGGCGGTGTTCCCGGAACATCACCGCCTAAAATACTGACAGGTCCCATAAATGAGATGATTTCCTTGGAGATGGTTGGGAAACCTCTTTTCCTTTCCCGATGGCTGGTAAAATCGAAATGACTTCTTGTTGCTTTTATTTTCAGAATTTTTGTTTACTTACCCCATCTTAGTAGCAAGTTCAATAGCGCTGTTAGATTAGCCTAATCATTGTGGCGATTTGTGGGGCTTAACAATTCTATGTCTCGCTCCCGTGTAGACTTGAGTTATTGTATTGTTTATGCTCTTATTACTTTCTTTATTATGATGGTCAACACTCGAGAGTCTCTCAATATTAAAGTATTGTCCACATATAATTATTGAATTGGGACATATTCCACACCATGGCTAATGCTCATTCATGTCGAATAGTGATATATGGGCCGGCTAGTTACGAATCTGTCTGGAATCAACTGCGGGCAATGAGTTCTAATATAATGGAGCCTCTATCTGCAAGTCTGTAAGTAATCCTAAAGATATAAAGCAGCACCATTATTAGATTATTAATAGAATTATTTAATAACAAAAAAGTGCACGCACAAAGAAATTAAAGAGCATCAATCATACTAATCTATGCCTTGATTTTTATATTTAATTAATTAGACTATCCGTTTGGACTTTGGACATGTCGATATGATTTTGATCAAGTCTCTTTAGCCTGTAGTATTTAGATACAAAACCTATCTTCTTGAGATAATCATATCTCCTTCCTGTCAGTGGACGTTCAATTCATGAGTCCGCTATAAAAACCAATGACTAGGTGTTACATTATGGTCCATTGGTCCTTGAAGAATGAAGAAAGTTGGCTTACTCAAACGCTGGCTTATCGGATTCAAAAAAGCTATTTGTACCCACTCTTATATCAACTTTTATACCCATCATGTTTGTGAAAGACTTTTTCTGTATGTGAATCATGTTCACAGACAAAAAAAACTTTCACAAGCATGATGGATATAAGGTGGGTATAATGGTGAATACAACAAAAATGATTGTGTCAGTTTTAACCGATTTTGAGTCGATTCATTCTGTCTAGCAACTTAGCAAGTATAGCAATTTAAAAATCAAATCGATGACAAATCACAACAATCCAATTTTCTAAATGAGTAAATAGTTTTCCTTGTACAGATTTTGACATGGTTCATATTTGCAAGGTAAAGTCTTTACTTTGCAGCTTTTGTACTATTTAAATTCTCTAAAAAGTTGTGACACTCTCAAAGTAGAAGCCACAAGTTTGAATCTCATCTCAGTTCAAGACTGTTGACCTTAACATAGAAAAACTATTATAATAGTTTAGGAAGTTTTGCCATAAAAACATCTAGTTGTATGTTTGGCATGACCATTTTTATGAGTTTTTTAGAGCTACACACAGTAACATCTAAGAAAAGTCAGTAGTTTTTAACATTAATTAGTCAAAACAACTTGTATATTAATTAGAACTAAATCAAACAGTCAACTTTTTTTAAAACAATTACCTCATTTTTTTAAAATCTTTCAGTCACTAGAAGCTAATAGTTATTAAAATCTTATAAAATTATTTATTTAACTAGTTATGCCAAACATACTCATAGTGTTGTGTAAAAAAGAATATTGATCCCCCTAATTTCAATCTAGAGGGTCAATACTTCAAAACCTTTATAAACAGAGACTCAAAATTTCATATTTTCATCAAATTTGAATGAGAATTCGATATTAAATAAATATAAGGCATTAAATTTAGGAAGACCATTTTTAAAGACTGCTAGAGCAAAAATTGATGTCTTTAGCGAATCTTTAACAATGGAATTTGATGGAGATAACGTTGAATTCAACATTTATGACTCCATGAAGTACCCAAGTGAAAATCATTCTCTATTTGCCATTGATATTCTTGATCCTCTTGTACAAAATGCTTTTGAAATAAATGGAGAGGATGAATTATTGAGCGTGATCGAGAACGATGTGGGGGGAAAATCTCTTTAGAACTTGCCTTGACCCCTAAAATACAAGCTATGATGGTGGAATTGGATAATCACTTCCAACTTCCACTTATGCCACCGGGGTCAAGAGCATTTCCACTAACCATCCCCGAAGAAAACCCTTTGCCTTCAGTTTTGCAGGCACCCGAAGTTGAGATGAAACCACTCCCGAAGCACTTGAAATATGTGTTCTTGGGAGAAAAAGAAACCTTGCCGGTCATCATTTCAAATAAATTGACCCAAGGGCAAGAAGAGAGGTTGATTGCGGTGCTCAAGGAGCACAAACTAGCAATTGGATGGACTATAGCCGACATCAAATGCATTAGTCCATCCACATGCATGCACCGCATCTTGATGAAGGATGAAGCTAAACCGGTGATACATCCACAAAGACGATTGAACCCACTTGTGATGGAGGTGGTTAAGAAGGAGGTCATAAAACTACTTCAAATGGGGATAATCTTCCCCATTTCCGATAGCAAGTGGGTGAGTCCAACCCAAGTTATTCCTAAGAAGACCAGAGTCACGGTGGTGGAGAACAAACATGGAGAACTTATGCCCATCCGAATTCAAAATGGATGGAGGGTATGCATAGATTACCGTAGACTTAATGCGGTAACTAGAAAGGATTTCTTTCCTTTACCCTTCATTGATCAAATGCTTGAGAGACTTGCCGGGCATAAGTTATATTATTTTCTTGACGGCTACTCTGAGTATTTTCAAGTACCCATAGCCCCTGAAGATCAAGAGAAGACCACTTTCACTTATCCGTTTGGCACTTTTGCATACCGACACATGCCATTCGGACTATGCAATGCCCCAACCATATTCCAAAGATGCATGATGAACATATTCTCTTAATATGTTGAGCTATTTATGGAAGTCTTTATGGATGATTTCACAATCCATGGAGACTCTTTTGATTCTTGCCTATACCATCTATCTCTTGTTCTCAAAAGTTGTTTAGAATTAAATCTTGTTCTAAACTATGAAAAATGCCACTTTATGGTGGAGGAAGGAATTGTTCTAGGCCATGTAATCTCATCCAAAGGCATTGAGGTGGACATGGCAAAAGTAGGGATCATCCAATCACTCTTATCCTACTACTGTTAGGGAGATTCGATCATTTCTTGGACATGCAAGTTTTTACCAGAGATTTATCAAAGACTTCTCAAAGATTGCATCTCCTTTATGCACACTTTTGCAAAAGGAGGTGGAATTCATATTCTGCGAGGGATGCAAAAAGGCTTTCAACACTTTGAAGGAGAAACTAGTTACCGCCCCTATCATTCAAGCACCCGATTGGTCTCTTCCTTTTGAGATCATGTGTGATGCTAGTGACTATGCGGTAGGGGCCATCTTGGGCCAAAACGTTGGTAGGGCATCTCATGTGATCTACTATGCATCAACAACTCTCAATGATGCCCAACACAACTACGCCACCACCGAAAAGGAGATGCTAGTCGTCGTCTATGCACTTGAAAAATTCAGGTCATACTTACTTGGAACCAAAGTGATCATCTATACCGATCACGCAGCTCTTAGGTTCTTGATGACGAAGAAGGAGGCCAAACCAAAATTGATTCGATGGATACTTTTTCTAAGCGAGTTCGACGTTGAAATCAAAGACAAGGACATAGAGAACTTGGTGGCCGACCACTTGAGTCGACTCGTTCTTGATGAAGGGAATGATCATGCTAAGGACGATATCCGAGGGGAATTTCCCGATGAGACTCTTTTCTCTCTAAAGGAAATTCGCCCTTGGTACGCTCACATTCTTAATTTCCTTGTCTTAAACAGGTTCCCACCAAGCTTCTCTAAATCTCAAAGAGAGAAGCTCCAACATGACGCTAAACAATATGTGTGGGATGAACCTTATCTATACAAACATTGCAAAGATCAAGTCATTAGAAGATGCATTCCTGATACAGAAATAGCCTCCATCCTTGCATTTTGCCATTCACACGCTTACGGAGGACACTTTGGAAGCAAGCGAACATCAATGAAGGTACTCGAATGCAGTTTTTGGTGGCCAAGCTTGTTTCGAGATGCTCATGTCTTTTGTCAGTCTTGTGACAATTGTCAACGCATGGGAAACATCTCTCGAAAATATGAGATGCCGCAAGTATTGATGCTCTATGTCGAGATCTTTGATGTATGCGGTATAGATTTCATGGGACCATTTCCTAACTCCCATGGTAATCTATATATTCTCTTGGCGGTGGACTACATCTCAAAATGGGTGGAAACAAAACCCACCAAAACAGGTGATGCCAAAGTCGTGGCGGACTTCCTCAAATCTCACATTTTCTCAAGGTTTGGAGTCTCACGCATTTTGATAAGTGACAGGGGCACTCACTTCTACAACAAAACTATGAGTGTCTTGTTGAAGAAGTACGACGTCACTTAAAAACTCTCCACCGCCTATCACCCACAAACAAACGGCCAAACCGAGGTGAATCCCAACCGCAAGGATTGGAGTCTTTGCATGGATGATGCCTTATGG